AGTTACTTGAAGTTCCTGGGCTTCACTGACCTCATTTGTAACATGGAAAAAATGATCCTTGTGCTTCTGCCCCAGAGGAACTGAGAAAGGACTAGCATGAATTTGGGGCATGTTTTATATTATACATAACACAAATACTCAAGCATGATGGATGGATGGATTCAAAAATATCCTCATGGATTATGATCTCCCAAAATTTTTGAGATACTACGTGGTGATTAAAATGACAAACTTTGGCATCAGAGATACATGGGTTCAAATGACAGCTTTTGCTGTGTGACCTTAGGTAAGTCATTCACCCTCTCAGAGCCTCAGTTAACGAAACCCATCCCACAGGGCTGCCATATGGAAAAGGGAGATTGTTTGTGTAAAGAGCTTAACGCTATCTCAGCCTATGATAAAGGTGAACTATAATAATAAATGTTGTCTCTGCTATTTGACTTTCAGGGCACTGAGTGTGAGGAGGGTACCTGGGATAACAACTCCCATAATGACAAAGGGTGGTCCCTTCAGAGATCATCTCCCCCTTAAAGCATGGAATAACAATAACTTGTATTAAGAATTTAAAATGTGCAAGAGGTTGCTATAGCCACCTCGACCATAACAGACCTTAGCTGATGGACTAGGCCTCTCTGTGACTCACTCTGTGGATGGTGGTGTGGCCACTGTTTAACCCCAGTTAACCAGGCCCTACCTGCACAGATCAAAGACTCTCAACACTCAATTTCAAGTTGGCTCAATCGTATACTTTATCACCCTCTGTCCCAAAGCACCTTTCAAGCACTCACAGGAGAAAAAAGGCAAAGCAAAAAGATGCACAAACTACCGTGTTTCCCTGAAAATAAGACATCCTCCGAAAATAAGACCTAGCGCATGGAAAGATAAGACATCCCCTGAAAATAAGACCTAGCACGACTTTGGGAGAAGAAATTAATATAAGACACTGTCTTATTTTCGGGGAAACAGGGTAGGAATCATTCAACCATCTGACAATGCCAAGAGTTGGCAAGGGTTTGGAGCAAGGCCATGCACGTGCACTACTGGGAATGCAAATTGGCTCAAACATTTTGTAAAATAGTTTGGCAGTATCTAGTAGACTTGAAGATGCAGATCCTCATGACTTAGCGATTCCGCTTCCAAATTTGAACCAACAAAGATTCTTCCACAAATACACAAGAAAACATGCATGTCAAACAAGCATGTCAAACTCATGTATGCAGCCCACAACAAATATTTTTGTGGCCCAGCCAATGTAATGGTATGTAAGAAACATTTTAATAAAAATTTTGTAACTAATTTTTATAATATCAAATTATACATAATTATTAATAACGAACTACAACGTCCACTAATGACTGCTATGATTGTGTTGCATTTATTTCCCTTACGCACCTTACTGTGCACTATTTCTCTCCACTAATAGTAGCAGCCAATATTTTAGCAGCCGATTGCCATGTCATTAGTCTTATACTGACTTGTTTGGTGTGCGCAACAGGAAATATTTCGCTTTCAGAAAACCAAAAAAATAGGGTTTTTTTGCATTATGCTTATTAATTTCTGCAGTTATTCAGTGTCTGGTAAGTTAGTGTTCAAGGAAAAATATTACTTGTTATTAAAATGTTCAAATATATACATATATATATATATAAAATATCTCTATTGATTTCAGAGAGGAAGGGAGAGAGAAAGATAGAAACATCAGTGATGAGAGAGTGCAGGAGGCAGCTGATTGATGTTTCTAACTCTCTATCCCTCTCCCTTCATCTCTTTAAAAAAAAAAAACAATCCTAGCTAATAAAAGAGTAATATGCAAATTAATCATCACTCTGCTATACCCACAAGCCATGCCCAACAGCCAATCAGGAGTGAGTATGAAAATTAACCCAACCAAGATGGCTGTGGCCACAGAGTGAGCAGAAGGCTTGGGTTTCCCCAGCATTGGAGGAAGCCAAGCTTTCTGCACACCCTGGCTGGCCCAGGCCTCCACTCAAGGCTACAAAGTTTCAATTATAGAAGATAAATAAATCCTAACAAAAATGGCAGCAGCCACTGAGCTGGAGAGAGCAGGAGGCTTGAGTTTCCCCTGGCAATGGAGGAAGCCAAGCTTCTGCAGCCCTGGCCTGCCATGACCTCTGCTCAAGGCTACAAAGTTTCAATTATAGAAGATAAATAAATTCCAGATACCAGGGCCTCCACTTGGGTTGCCAGGGGACATGGCTGGCCTGCAAACCACCACAGGCCCCTTGCCCAGGCCACCCCACACCCCAAGGGAACCCTCACCCTGATCCAGGACACCCTTCAGGACAAACCAAAAGGCCCCCACTATGCACCAGGCCTCTCTCCTATCTAATAAAAGAGTGATATGCAAATTGACCATCACTCCAACACACAAGATGGCTGCCCCATGTGGACACAAGATGGCTGCCACAAGATGGCAGGGTAGTTGGGAGGGACCAGCCCTGCAAGGAAGGGCAATTGGGGGTGATCAAGCCTGCAGGGAGAGCATTTAGGGGTGATCAGGCCAACATAGAAGGGAAGTTGGGGACGACCAGGCCTGCAGGGGAGGGCAGTTAGGGGCAAACAGGCTGGCAGGGGAGTAGTTGGGAGCCAGCAGTCCTGGATTGTGAGAGGAATGTCCAACTGCCAGTCAGACATCCTTTCAGGGGTCCCAGATTGGAGAGGATGCAGGTTGGGCTGAGGGACACCTCCCCCCCCCCCCCGCAGGAATTTTGTGCACCAGGCCTCTAGTAAAATATATTTTTTAAAAAAAGAATGCTCATACCAGCACTGTTTATAATAACAAAAACCTGGGGGGGGGGGGGGAACTTTAATGACTAACAATAGGAGAATGAATAAATTGTGGCATACTTATAAAAAGGCATATTATAAAGCAGTGGAGATTAATGGAGCTACACCTAATGATAGGATGAATTTTATTAATATGTCAGGTGATGCAAGTTACATAGGAATAGGCGCACTTCAATACCATTTATAGAAAATTCAAAATATGCAAAATGCTATATATTGCTTAGAGAGATATACATGTATAGCATAAGTATATAGAAATGTAAGGGGATAAATACTGGCAATTTATGATTAGTGGTTACTTGGATGATAGAGGGGAGAGATGTGCAATTGAGGAGGAGTACACTGGAGGTTTCAATGGATAATATTTCATTTCTTATGCTGGTGGTGGGGACATGTGTGCTTTAATAAAATTCTCAGGCATGAAATAATTCTTCACATATAAAATATTTCATATTTTTTTTAATAAAAGGCAAGACTATAATTGGCATTAAGTTCTTCCACTTTTTTTGAGACCAGGAAAACAAGGTCCCAGCTCTTCTGAGTAGCTGTTTTGGTAAGCTGGGAAATTCTGCGATGTTACTTCTAAGCTAGTGTGCAACAACTAGGAGGTGAGCATGGGCTTTCTTGCATGTAATCAATTTAGAGAGTAGGAACCTGGTATGTGTCTAGGGTTTGCCCCGATTCCGCTATGACATCAACTCTCCCTCCAAGAAACACTGTAGTGGATAAAAAGTTAAAATCTCCCCAAGCCCTTTCTCTCTAATCCATTGCAACGAGATAATTTCTATTGAAAGAATCCTTCCAGATATACACATCTGTGAAAAATTTTAAGCTAAAAATAGATGGAATTATGCTATATGCATTTGCCACACTTCCTTTATTTACTTATCAATGGCTCATTTCAGTACGTCAGCTCATAATGATCTGTTACTCTCTTCTGCAATAATTTATTACTTAAAACTTCTATTTTTAATTCAACAAGAGACATATGATCACTTTCTAGATGCAAAATTTTCCAACTATTGAGATAGAGGGATAAAAACCTTCACAAATTAGAGTGTAAAGCCTTCACAAGATTGCCATACTAACACACACACACATTCTTAGTCTCAGGCCCCTCCCTGGAGGTAAAACACTGCTATATTTACATATGTCCTTCCAGATTCACTTACCCCCACAAAGAAATAGGTTGTTTAGTTGTTGTGTGTATGGTTGACATATAAATAGTTCCAAACTGAACATAAGGTCCTGCAATTTACTCTCAGAGATTTATGCACATACTATCTCATTCAGGCATCGATTAGCTGATATTTATTAAAATACTAGAAATTTGTACACTAGTAGGCCTTCCTTCCCCTGACTGCCAGCACTGGCTTTCCTCCAGCGCCCGGACCCGAGCTTCCCTCGCAGCCCAGCTTTGTCTGGGAGGACGGAAGGATATCAGGAAGGATGTCTGGTTAATGAACATATCACATTAATATGATTGTGACTTCAGTTTAAAAACTATCGCTTTAAATTACCAATCCTCTGTTGAGAACTATATTGGTCATAATTATCTCCTGTTACAAATATATGAGCTGCTCTATACTCATCTTGTGATGACTGGTATTTCTGAGTGCAAGATCCCCGATTGTGTAATTACTATTTTCTTCAAATTCTTATGAAAATGTAGCCAGCACGCAGGAAAACAATTCTAATTTCCTGATCTTTGACCGCCGTGAGGCATAAACTTCCGACAAGTCCCTGAACCTCCCCGGACCTCGGTCTCCCCAATAGTAGTACCCCGCTGGTCCCTACACCCTCGAGTCTGCTCTAAGTTGAAAACAGATGCCCCACCCCCTGACTCAGCGAGGGCAGGACTTCTGGAAGCCCCTGCTCCCCCTTTTCCGCCTCTCCGGCTCCTCAGACGCGGTTTGGGGAAAAGGGAAAAGGCAGGTCTGGGCAGGAGAACTCGGTGCAGGGCGGGGCCGGGGCGGGCGGGAGGAGGCCGGCCCCCTGGTAGGAAATGAGCCGGGGCTGGAATAACACTTTAAAGGCCTGACGCCCTCTTCCTCCTCGCATCCCCTGCTCACCTTCCAGCTCCTCCGTCCAGCTTCCTCTCCTCCCAGGCGGTCCTCGCTCCCCTAGGTGCTGTCAGTGGGAGCCCCCCAGCCTGCCAAAGCCAGGAGTGCAGGTGGGATCGAGGTCCCAGGATGTGGAGAACATTGCTGTCCCTGCTGCTGCTACCGACTCTGCCCCGAAGGGCCCTTTGTGTCCAGGAAACTTCCGACGGTGAGTGGGGGCCCCGAAGTGGAGGGGGAAGGAGGTCACATCCCAGCCTCGGAATGCTTCTGTCCGGGTGCGCGGGCTAGACCAGAGGAGAGCTTATTCACAGAGACTGTATCGTAGCCTGGGGATGGATCTCTCTATAGGGCAGACAGGGCTCTGGGGATGGTGTGTGTGCGAAGCCAGGTGAGAGAGGGAAAGACGGAGGAGGCTGGAGGTGGGGTGGACAGCACTGGAAAGATGGGAAAGGGGCTGATAGGAGCAACGAGGGAATTAGTCTCAGGGAGAGGGGATGGGGTGAAGTTTGGAGGAGAGCTGAGGCTGATGGTGGATGGGGGTGAATCTAGGGAAGATGGGAGGACACCCAGAGATGAGATGAGAGACGAAAGGAACTGGAGGATGTGGGAACTGAAGGGATACTTGGGGAAAGATTGGGGCTGAGATGTATGAGGCGGAAAGGGAGAACAGAGAGGGCGGAGGAAAACTGGGGGCAGTTGGTGAGGTGAAGCTGGGGAAGAAGCAGCTGTGGTCAGCGGGAGAACTCAGAGGAGATCAGAAGTGGGGTAAGCACGGAAGGAGAGTTATTGCCCTTCATTGCAATTGCACAGGGCCTCTTCTTTCTCCCACAGTCTCTCTAGCGAGCGGGAGTGAGTAATAACCAGAGTTCAATGAGTGTTCACTATGGTTAACGCATGTGTTGCCTCATTTAATGCCCACAAAATCTCTACACAGAGGAGGAGACAAGGGCACACAGCAGTTAGAACCTTCTGAGGGCCGAAACCGGTGTGGCTCAGTGGATAGAGCGTCGGTCTGCGGACTGAAAGGTCCCAGATTCGATTCTGGTCAAGGGCATGTATGTACCTCGGTTGCGGGCACATCCCCAGTAGGGGGTGTGCAAGAGGCAGCTGGTCGATGATTCTCTCTCATCAATGTTTCTAGCTCTCTGTCCCTCTCTCTTCCTCTCAGTAGAAAATCAATAGTGTGTATATATATATATATATATATATATATATATATATATATTTTTTTTTTTTTTTTTTTTTTTTTAAAGAACCTTCTGAGGTTATCCACGCAGATGTACTTACTTACACCTGCAGACACAGAGCAATGCAAACGTGGTCACAACACATCCACACGCATGGATTTGCAACCCCAGACTCATTCCCTCCTCAGACATTTTCTAGGCACCAAATCTGTGCCAGGCCCTTACTAGGTGTAGGAGTAGAGATAACCAGTGGCCTAGAGGAGCCCATTAGAGCCTGTGTGTTTGCAGACAGTTATGTGGAACCTCCGATCATTGAAACAGGTCCACTGTCTGGAAGGATAAAGAGAAGAGGCTTCAGGAAAACGCCAAGGAGAGAGCCACCACACTGGGTCTTGAAGCATGAATAGAAGTTTGCCAGAAGCAGAGCAACCCGGACATGCTATTTACATGTCAGTCAAAAGGCAGCATGAGGAGTTGGCTATAGCCTCACACTGGGAAGAGACTGAAAAAGGCAGCAGGAGCCTGGTCCCCTTACAATCCATGCTAAAGACTTTGGACTTGATTCTGTGGACGGATATCCTATAAGGAGTCAGTAGAGCTAGCTGGCTAAGAATGCCAGACTCAGATTGCTTGCATTCAAATCGTGGCTCGATTATACCATGTTAGCCTGTTTCCCACATGGACTGGGGTTAATAATAGTAGCTATGGTATTAAGTTAAACGGAGGAAGGCACAAATAATACAATATGTATGTATAGTGCCCAGGTCATACGCCCAATAGCTATTGTTGTTGTTGTTGGTAGGGGAGTGTGTCACTGAAGGACTTTACATTTTTAAATTTTTTGTTAGTCCTAGCCCATTGCTTTTTTTTAGAGAGTGGAAGGGAGAGGGGGAGAGAGAGAGAAAGAGAGAGAGAAACATCGATGTGAGAGAGACACAGCAATTGGGTGCCTCTCGCATGTTTCCTGACCAGGGCCAGGTACTAAGCCTGCAACGAAGTACATGCCCAGGACAGGAATTGAACCTAGGACCCTCAGTCCACGGGATGATGCTCTATCCACTGAGCCAAACCGACTAGGGTTTACTGAAGGATTTTTTCTTTTTTATTTTATTATTTACTTATTTAGTTATTTATTTTTATTACTGAAGGATTTTAAGCAGGACATAATGTTATTTCCGGGTCAGGTGGAGATCGGATTAAAAGAGATGAAACTGAAAAATGAGGGGCAGAAGCTTGAGGAAAGAAGTTCCTACCCCAGTCCCTATGGGAACCAATGAGGCCGGAAGTAGGGCAGGGGCAGAGGGGACAGAATTGGGGTTTCTATGGGAGGTCAGGAATTGCTGACCCTCTGGAAACGAGGAGGAGGGGGCGGGAGAGAAGGGAGATCAGAGTGGGTCTTCCACTGCCTGTCGGGCTTACCCCTCAGGCAAGTGGCCTCTCCTCTCTTCTGGCCTCAGTTTCCTCATTTGTAAAATGAAGATAATAATCCCTGTCCTACCCTCTTGGCAGGTTTCCTGTGAGCATTACATGGGAGGGAGGGTGGGAGGACACTTTGTAGTTTATGAAGAAGGGCCGAGAAGGTGGGCGGCCGGCTTCTGAATGCCGGGTTATGAACTCGGGCTACATCAGGCCAGCCAGGGACCAACGCACTGGCTTCCACCCCCAGGCCCTCGGAGCCTCCACATGCTCCAGATCTCCTACTTCCCGGACCCGGGCCGCGTGAGGTACCAGGGCAACGCGTCGCTGGGCGGGCAGCTGACGCACGTGCTGGAAGGCTGGGACTCCAACGTCACGGTTCTCCAGCTGCACCCCCTGCAGGAGCCCCAGCGCTGGGAGCGCACGGAGGAGAGCGTGCGGCTCTACCTGAGCAACTTCCACAACCTGGTGCGGCTGGTACACCAGGAGCGGGGCGTGGCCTGTGAGTGGGTCACGCTTGGAGGGCGTGGCCTGGGAGGCGGGGGCCGTGGGAGGACCTGGCAGGGCCCTCTGGAAGGGGTGGTTCCCGGAGGGGTCTTGCGGATGGGCTGGGCACACATGGGCCTGGGCCTGTGGGGGCGGGAGGCTCTCCGGAGCCCCGGGGTGGTGCCCAGGCACCGGCATTGACTGATTGCTGGGTATGAGCTTGAGGCTGGAGAGGAGGCTGTGTCCTAGCCTTCTGTCCCGCCTTCTTCCTGCTAGCATGGTCTTGAGGTAGACCCACCCTGAAACCCTAAAGTTCACTTCCTCCAGGAGAGCATCCCCTACACCTGGCACCCTCTCCTTGACCTTTATTCCCCCTCCTCTCCCTTCTCCACAGTTCCTCTGACCATCCGCTGCTTCCTGGGCTGTGAGCTGCCTCCTGAGGGCTCTCGAGCCCATACCTTCTTTGAAGTGGCTCTGAATGGGAGCTCTTTCGTGAGTTTCCAACCAGAGGTTGTGTATTGGGAGGCAGGGCCACAGGTCACCTCTGCAGTGGCCATCTACACCCTGCGTCAGCTCAACGCCTACAACCAGACTCGGTATGAGCTGCAGGATTTCCTGCAGAACACCTGTGTGCAGTACGTGAAAGAGCACCTCCCTACGAAATCCTTGAAAGGTACGGCGGGACCGGCGATGGGCCTGCATGTTGGGTAGTTTCCGGGCAAATGGAAGGGCCTGAAGGATGGACCTTGAGCAGCAGGACTCCCGGGGCTGGGGATTGGGGATAGAGTACACACAGCTTAAGTCACTTGGCAAACTAGTCCACCCCTGCCTTTGGGGCAGAAATCCCTTTGGGGTTGGATTCAAACCATAGACTCCTTGGGGAGAATGTTCTCTGGGCTAACTTTCTGCATATTCTCCAGAGAGCCAAGCACGCCGCTCCTACACGTCGCTGGTCCTGGGCATCCTGCTGGGCACTTTCATCATCTGTGGTGTGGCTGTCGGCCTCTTCCTGTGCACGGGCGGACGGCTGTGTTAACTACCCTCCGGTCCCCTCTGGAGAAGGGCTGGACCGATGGGGGCTGACAAAGGAACATCTCAGCTCCCTGAAAAGCCAAACATAGTCCCCACTTGGGTACCAGCTTTCTTCTTCCAGATCTGCCCACTTTGGGTGAGGGAAGGAGAGAAGGCTAGATAGATGGAGTACTTGGTTTACTAGGAAACTAAGTACTTGCATGCTTCATTGCATTGATTTGAGAAGTAGTGAATGCTTGTCTGTCTTTGTGAAAAACAGATGATGGAGTTGTGGTAGTGGTGGTGGGGTCTATGGCCCATCCTCCAAAGACAGACAGAATCACATAACCTGTCATCACAAAACCAAAATAAATAACGTTCAATGCCTACAGATGTGTCAGACATAGGAAGAGACAACACTATGAAGGAGGTAGAAAGAAATAACTAGAGAAATGGTAGGAGTGTAAAATCCAAGTAATATGGGAACAAGGAGTTATTAAATAATTGGTCAATAATATTAATAAATTCCTTATTTATGTATAAGACATTATTATTTCCTCTACTTTGAAAATTTTCTAGAAAAGTAGCCTATACCGTTTGCTTCTACTTTCTTATCTCCTGCCAGAGGTAAAATGCACGCAATTCATGCAAGAGTAGGCCTCCCAGCCCAGCTGTCTCAGTCCTCATAGCCTCGGCTTCGTCCAGACAGTCATTCCACTGTTCGGCCATTTGGTCAATTTGCATATTACACTTTTATTATTATAGATGCATTCTTCAACCACTGCAGTCTGACATCTCAGTAAACTACTCCAAACTCATCAATGACCTCTAATTGTGGAAACTTCATCCTCCATGATGTCTGACATTTCACTTTGTGGACTAGAGCTATTTTTACCCCAACTTCTGAAATACCATACTTCTAATTTTTAAAAAAATGTTTAATCCCTTTGCCTACACCATCTTACTCCATTTATCTTGGAAATCGTAGCTTCCTTAGAATTCCATTTTTGGGCTCCTTTTGTTTCCCTTTAATCTGTATCTTTCTGGGCGACCTACTAACTTAACTTGCATGGCTTCAAATACCATCTGTCTGTGGTGATTTCTATGGGGAAGCAATATAATCTTGTTTTTGAGAGCGTGTATTTTGTCATCAGACAGACTTGAGTTTTACTTCTTTCACAATGCATTTTAACTTCTTCAAGTCTCAATTTCTTCATAAACAAAAGATATGATAAAATACACAAAAATGGTATATTAAAGATACCTACTTCACAAAGGCATTATACATATTAAATAAGAATATATATGATGTATGTATACAGGGTGGGGCAAAAGTAAGTTTACATTTATGAGTATGTGAAACAGAGTTTATTCTTGTATTATTATTTATTAATTATTGTATTATTTTTCATATGAACAAGTGTAAACCTAATTTTGCCCCACCCTGAATAGCACTTGCTGTTGACCTCCAGACCACCCCCATATGCATTCATTTTTGAAAATCCTCTCTATCATAGTATTTTGTAGACATTTTAGAGTCAGCATATTCAAAATAAACATGTCTTTCTCCCCAAACCTGTTCTTTTTCTCCCGTGGTTTTACTGTCAGTTAAACAGAATTACCATCAAATCATATCAATGTAAAGACTCCGTGTTAACTTGTGTTTACTCCCTCTTCATCCCTCACCTACAAAATACAATGTCTGTAGAATCCATTTCCTCCTTTCTACTCCATTGCTTTTGTTCCAGTTATTATACTTCATCTCTTTCTTTGTGGTAGGCATGGAGGTGTGCCTCCCAGTTCTATCTTCAAGGAACTTGCTGTTCCATTACAAGGAGTATAGCCAGCAGGTAGCTTCTTGCTGCTTCAGTTCCTTCAGGGTATGCCTCACCTACAGAGAATAGTCCTATACAAGGGCCGTCCTCATTTGTTGGCTGAGCAAAGCAGGGATGAAATGGTGTAGCCATTATGGCCCAGAGCAGGACAATTCTGAGGAGCCATCGTCACTCCAGAGCTCCTAGTCAAGTTAACTGGATCTATGTCCGATCTATTCAATCCTGCTTCCTCCCCCTAGTTAATATCTTGCACCTCAAACTCTCTGTCAGCATCTGCCTCCAAAAAATCCAACCTGTGATTGACAACCTCACTGTCTCCAAATTGAGAAATATTCTCACTATTTTGTCTGATCCATGGCAATAGCCTCTTCGTAATTTTTCTCCTGGCCTCTAATTTCTCTGAGTCCTGTTTTATATAACAATTAAAAATCTATATAACAATTAAAAAAATGATTTGATCATATCATTGTTCTGTGTTTGTTTGTTTGTTTGTTTGTTGATATTGATATAAGAGAGAGAGAAACATCAGTGATGAGAGAGAATCATTGTGGCTGCCTCCTGCACATCCCCTATTGGGGATCAAGCCCACAACCTAGGCATGTTCCCTACCAGGAATTGAACCGTGACCTCCTGGTTCATAGGTCAATGCTCAACCACTGAGCCCTGCCAGCTGGGCTCATTATTCTGTTTTATAAATTTCCCACATTTATTGAGCTAAATTCAGAATCTTCAAAATGACATTTAAGGATTTGTGCAATCTGGTTCCATCCCAATTTTCAAATTTTATTTCTTAGTATTTCTTTTTGCCCAACTGTGCTTTGGGTTATTGATTTATTTTAAATATATTTTTATTGATTTCAGGGCGGGAGAGAGATAGAAACATCATCAATGAGAGAGAATCATGGATTGGCCGCCTCCTGCATGCCTGCTAGTGGAGATCAAGCCTGTGACCCAGACATGTGCTCTTGATGGGAACTGAACCCGGGACCCTTTGGTCCGCAGGCCAATGCTCTATCCACTGAGCCAAACCTGCCAGGGCTGGGCTATTGATTTTAAAAGCATATGTAATGACAGAAGTAATACCACAACAGTAGCAATTCAGAAGTTCACAAAGAAAAAAGTGAAAGACCTGTACTTTTGCCATCTCTCTAAACCCTTACCTTAAAGTTATACTAAGATTGTAGTTGCAAGCAAGAGAAACCAACTCTGTCAACTAATGGGGAAATAAACATTTGAAAGATTATTAAGTAATCCTCAGAATTGATGGGAAGGCCAGCTAATCAAACTCAGAAAATAAAACCAGGGATCACAGCCAAAGTCACAGCACAGGAATGGTCTAAGAAGGATACCACAGCTGTTCATTTGTCTTTACACTCTTAGTTTAAGACTCAAAGTCCTGGTGGGAGCATTCAAATGGCCAAGCCATTTGCCTTTGCTGCAAGGAGAATGGGAGGGAAAGTTTAGGTATCTGGCTTTTCTTGTGGATTGTGGAACCCTGTCGCCCATTAAGATTCACACAAAGGCCGAAACCGGTTTGGCTCAGTGGATAGAGCATCGGCCTGGGGACTGAAAGGTCCCGGGTTCGATTTCGGTCAAGGGCATGTACCTTGGTTGCAGGCACATCCCCAGTAGGGGGTGTGCAAGAGGCAGCTGATCGATGATTCTCTCTTCGTCGATGTTTCTAACTCTCTATCCCTCTCTCTTCCGCTCTGTAAAAAATCAATAAAAAAATATTATATATATATATATGTGTGTGTGTGTATATATATATATATATATATTCACACAAAAGAAGAGGTTTCAAATCTTAGGAAGACAAAAAACAAAAACAAATTCTGATGCCATCAGAATGCTCTTTCGCTGTTCATAAGATTAAATCCAAACTCCTCAGTATGTAACTAAGACCTTCCAAAATCCAGCCCCCACCTATATTTTCTCTAGCTTCATCTTCAACCCCTCTTAGTCCATTCAGGCTGCTATAACAAAAATGTCATAGAGAGGATAGCTTAAACAACAAACATTTATTTCTTCATTCTGGAGACTGGGAAGTTCAAGATCCAGGTACTGGTATATTTGGGACTTGGTGAGGGCCTGCTTTTTTGAATACATGGGTGTCCATTTTCTACTGTCCTCATCCGTGGAAGCAGGGTGAGAGCTCTCTGGAGATCTCTTTTGTAAGGACACTAATCCCATTCATCAGTGCTCTACCTTCATGATCTAATCACCTTCCAAAGTCCCCAACTTCAAATACCATCACATTGGGGATTAGATTCTAGCATATCAATTTGAGGGGAGGCAACCCACTCAGTCTAGAGTATTCTCCTCCTCTCTCAATCTAGCCCCTCCAAATCACTCTTGTTTTCTCAAATACACTCTGTCCTTTCTGGAGTTAGGTTAGGGAAGGTAAATGCTTTGTGCTTTCTCAGTCCACAATCTGCTTGATATTTCTCTGAGGCCGCGGGAGGCAGAATTATAAAATGTTAGTTACACCTGAACACTCTAGTACTGAAAGGGAAACTGAGGCTGGGAAAGACTAAGTGGCTTGCTCCAGGTCCCACAGTTCGCTGGTACAAGAAGTGGAACTGGGACTTGTAGCTTCTGACTCTTGACCCTGAGCTTCACCGTGCTGTGAGAGGGGGAACAAGTCATGAGAGATGGAGGTAATGAGATCACTTGCAGTGATTCTCTGAAAGTTCATGTCCACATCCAAAAACAGGAGCGGTAAAGAGGCAGGAATACAGTGGGATGAGTAACTGACTTATAGGGATAAAGAGTGAACCTAATTTCCAGGTGGTTCTAACATGGTAGAGAGTAAATAGAAGGTTCATCTGACTATGCTTACACATGTGAATATTTGCTCATAGCTGTGTGACCTTGGATAAGTCTGGAAAAAAGTTCATAATTTCTATGATAGCTCTGATAGCTACCATGTTTCCCCGAAAATAAGACATCCTCCGAAAATAAGACCTAGCGCATCTTTGGGAGCAAAAATTAATATAAGACACTGTCTTATTTTCGGGGAGACAGGGTAGGGAAACCACCTCAGAACGTTTGGGTTAGGCCTTCCAGATTACTGGAAGTCCAGCTGAAGTTTACAGAAGAAGTAAACAGACATAAAATAAATTTAAACACATGATTCTCGGCATCTTCTTAAAGCCTTCTGAGTGGCTTGGCTTACTGTGTTCCTCTT